GCACCGCCTACGGTCGAGAAGTCCACAAGTTAGATACTCGTTCGAAGAAACAAAGAAGTTACGATTATTAACTAGGATGAAGAGATAACGTAAGGAGTCGTTATGAAAGCCCTTTCTCGTTGATGAATTCGGGACGTAATCATCCTAAGGGGGAGATAATTGTAACGCCCGCAGATCCGGGCTATTCAGTTAAGACACAATAAGCACCGGAAATGACATTTGATAGAACGTTATTTAGAATAAATAATCTTAAATAAGTTGTAGTATATGTCACAAGGGTTCCGTAAATATAAAGAACGCCGAAATCCGAGTTGTAACGAAGAAGTTATGGCCTATCGAAGTTTCGCGACAGAACCGGAACGACACTATGTGACGTAAATAGTGAATTTACGATAAAGGACTTCTTAGCCTTGGTGATCTACACGAAAGTCATAGTATTTGTTAAACCGAGAGCGTGCATAAAAAGAACGCCCAAATCTGACTTCGTATGAGGAAGTTATGATTTTTCTAAGTTTCGGATCAACAGTGCACAACCCGAAGTTCGAATAATAGATCGGTTGATTTTTGGCCGACACAACCTAAACGAGAATCGAAGATCTCGTTAATAGTAGCACAACGGTAAAAAGACAGACAAAAACGGACGTCGGATGAAGAAGTTACAAAATTTTAACAGGCTTTATTGTCCCGGTCTGTTAAAAAATATAAATTTAAAATCGGTCAAGAATTAGCCGACAAAGTCTAAACGAAAGTCGTATAGTACGGTCCCACCTACGCGTGAATATAAAGAACGTCGAAAACGGAGCTCGTATGCGAAAGTTACGAATTTTAGAAGTCGAGTGTGTAAATTGTGAGTCTGGTCCGAAGGGTACGCCCCGCGTACGCGAGGACTTGGCTCCGGAGGTGACCACGTAGCCCCAGCAGACTTCGGACGCGTGGCTGTACGAACGCGCAACTTAGACCAAGAACGCCCTGCGTACCCTCGCAGGAACGCCCATCGTAGTGAGGCTTCTCAGCCTATAAAAGGGGACCGAGGGCTGCCACTTTTTCTCACCAATTCACTCCTACTTTCTCTCACTACTTTCTCTCTCTAGCCCCTAAAACCCCCCTAAATCCTAGGAAAACCCCCTAGCACTGGAAGAAAGCTCGGGAGAGCCTGAAGGCTTCGAGAAAAAGAGCTTTTCGGTTTGAAACTCTGCCCGCTTAGAGCCCGGTTTTCAAGCAAACTTCCCGGTTTCGTCAAAGAATATTGTTTTAAGAAGCGAAGTGATGTCCGAATCACTCCTTATCAAGTGAGTGCATAGTCCCTTTCATGAACATGATTTTAGTACAAGTATTAATATCTGTTAAAGAGTTAAATATTTGTTAAAGAGTTTATGTGTTATCTGTTTACTTGAGATCTGTGTTAGATGAAAGATTTAAACTTCTTTGTTTTTCAGATCTAAACTGTAGATGTATTTTGTTTTCAGATCTGAACCTTTTTTTCAGATCTAAACTGTAGATGTATTTTGTTTTCAGATCTGAACTTTTTTCTTGATCTAGGCTGTATATGTATTTTGTTTTTCAGATCTAGACCTTTTTCTTCAAATATGAACCGTATATGTAATTTCTTTTCAGATCTAAACTTATTCTTCAGATCTGAACTGTATATGTATTTTATATCTACGAATATGTTGGGTAGAACATGGGTAGATGCAATAGTTGGTTTTGATACTGCCTGAAATACGTGTTAAGAGCATATCTGGTAAATATATGATGATTTAGGATATAGAGTAGACCTAAATAAATTAATAGGGATATTAGGGAATATATCCTTGTGAGTACAAATGAGATATACACGGAGGGAATAACTTTAAAACTTGTCATCTATCTGAGAGTATGGATTAGACTTAGTCAGTTGTCCTTAGTCCGAGAGTATGATTAGGACATAGTTACTTGCTTTTAGATATGGGAGTAAGGATCAGACATACCCGATCCGGGAGTATGGATTAGGTAAAGAAGTAAATTTTAGATCCGGGAGTAAGGATCAGACATACCCGATCCAGGAGTATGGATTAGGTAAGAAGGTAAATTTTAGATCCGGGAGTATGTATCAGACATATCCAATCCGGGAGTATGGATTAGGCAAAGAGGGAACTTTTAGATCCAGGAGCATGGATTAGGTAAAGAGGGAACTTTTAGATCCGGAAGCATGGATTAGGTAAAGAGGTAACTTTTAGATCCGGGAGTATGGATTAGGTAAAATGGTAACTTTTAGATTCAGGAGTATGGATTAGGTAAAGAGGTAAATTTTGGATCTGAGAGTATGGATTAGGTAAAGAGGTTAATTTTAGAGTATGGATCGTCTCGTTGTGAGGATCGACGGGATGGGGTAAAGTTGCTTATATATGGTGAAATTGTATATCTTGTGAGTTCTAAAAAATATATATGATATAACATTGTGGGATTGAAATCCCTATGTACTCACCAGGTTTCCCAACCTGACCCACTCAGTTTATTTGTATCACAGGTGTCGATATAAAGCTACACTACACTGAGAGATTAAAGAGATGTAGATCACTAGTGTAAATAAATGTAAGTTCTGTTTATGCTTATTTTTCTGTATTGACGTTGACATCCCAAAGTTTTAAAATGAATAAAATACATTTTCTTCGGAAAATGTTTTGATAACATACTTATCATGTTTTCTGGAAACAAAATTCCGCAACACTTTTCTATACAAGTATACTCTGATTTTAAAAATGAAGCATGAACAAATCGGTCTTTTCTGGCCGTAAAAATGGGGATGTCACAGCTCTGTCGTATAAATAATGTGTTATGACTTAGAAAAGAAACATTTTAATCACTCGCGAATGATAGTTGTTTTTGCAGGATACATTTGAAACTTCACATGTCAAGAAAACAACCATTCTTCACGGTAATAACATGGAAACTGCAATCCACAAATGGTTTCTTCCCAAGATGTGTATATTTCAATGAGGTATATAAATTCAAAACAATTGAATCAACGAATGAATACTTATTTGTGTAAATGTGACTTGAGCATTTAGAGCATTCTCATGGAGCATTTGGAGTTCAATGGATCATTTGAGAATGAATGAAACATCTGAGAAAGGAACAGTGCATCTGATGATGCTCCATGATGAAGATAAGCCACTTTAAGAGTGGATTTGCCACTTAGAATATTGGATGTGCCATTTGGGAAGAGAGTGTACCCCCTATAGACAAGGTGTGCCACTTTGGAATTAAGATGTGCCATCTAGAAGAAGCATGTGCCATCGTGAAGGAGAATGCACAACTTAGTGGAACCTGTACCACAATTGAGGAGGATGTGCCATCTAGGAGGATGATGCACTATCCTTGAAGCTTGATGTGCCACATTTGAAGTGGATGCACCACCCTTGTACAAGATGCGCCATATTGGTGCAAGGGTGTGCTACATACGTCCTTGATGAGCCATGATATCCGTTTATGTGTCACTTATGCTATGATGTACACTATGATGCTCACGATTGTCCAAGGATGCTTAGAAGTTGAAGATGCTCAAAGAAATGGCACCTGATGTGTTGTCATGGCACCTCGACGAAGTGTCATGCACTGGAGGTGCCACCAAGTGAGAAGGGTTGCCACTCAATGGCACTTGATGTGCCAATGGTGCATTGTTGGTGAAAATGCAATGTCTATCAAGGATGAAAGTTCCAGAAGCAGATGCATGACAGATTGTAGGGATGAGTGTTTGGACCGAATATCGAAACTAGAACTTAACCGAACAAATAAGCTATCTAGTTCGGTTCTCGAGTATGTATTTTAGGCTTATTCGGTTCTCAGGTATTTCGATCCGGGTTACACGAATAACTACTTAATCGGTTCTAAAGGAATCAAACCAAATTAGGACCGAATAAGCTATCCGGTCCGGTTCTCGAGTATGTATTTTAGGCTTATTCATATTTTAGTTAGGGTAGTTAATGTTTAATGTTTAACTTACATAATTATATATGGATTTTTGGGTGTTTAATGTTTAGTGTTTAATATATTGCTTTTATAACTATATCTAAAGATTTTGATGCATATAATTTATAATCACCTATAATCAATCATGTTTATTTTTTTTATAAATGAATTGATATGAATTAACATTTAACTGTAACATCATAGCATGTTAAAAATATAAAATAAAAATATTATTTTAAAACTTGTGAAACCCAACCATAGAAATAGTTTAATACATCCGAAAATATATTTTATTACATTTAATACCTTAAATAATTACAAAACAACCCCCTAAGTTAAACAAAAGTACCAAACAATACGGTTTATTCAGTTCTATTCGATCCTTATTCGTATTGTAATTGTTATTTGGATGATCCAGGTAATATCCAAACCGGACCCGTATTTGTTTAATCGGATCGGTTTTCGGTTCCTCTAATTAATCTTATTCGGTTTTCGGTTTATTCAGGTTCGGTTCGGTTCTGGCACGAATAACATCCATAACGGATTGTGATTGGTTGACACCTTTTATGAGCCTATAAATTAATGGATTTGGCTCATTAGAGTTTTAGGTATGATCTCTAGTTTATAAATAAGGTTTTAAGTCTGATCCCTAGTCTATAAATAGAGATGTCTGCAGGTCATTTATGTGTGTCTTGAATTCTAACGAGTAAACGAATATTTGTTTAGTTGTATTTGTAACATCTGTTTAATAACTCATACAAGTAAATATTATGAACTATGTTTGATAACTCATACACATAAATATTATGTTTTGTGTGTTATTGGTTAAGTGTTTTATCCAAATTACTTCCAAACTGATGTTATGTCATGTATTTTCTTGATATAAAAAATGAAACGTTCGTGATAATTTAGCGGTGGCTTCGACTTGACGCTGAAAGAATCGAAGATGTAAAACGTTGAATTTGTATGTTAGTTTTTTAATGTGACTTAGAAAAGCATGATATTTTCGTAAATATCTCAATTTTAATTTGGTTTCACAAAGTCAGTTTCCTCCGAACACGTTATCAGGTCGACCAGTTAGTAAACGACAAGCCTAGTTGAGGAGTGTCGCTTTATTTAATTATATAGTTTTGTTCTCGTAATTAGGGCTCCATTTTGTTCATCAATTCCGATTGTGTACCAAAAGAAAACTCCAATCTCGATCGAATTTCATAGCCACTGCATTAATATGTATTGTTGAAAATCTCCATTTATCTTCTTCCCCTCACCGACAAACACTATTCCATGGCGGATACGTCCTACACAAGCCTTCCTACTAGTCACTTGCCTGGTTCCGTTCCGGTATGTAGTCGCTAATATCATGTTTTTTATACTGTAAATTTGCCCTAATTTATGATCACTGTTACAAATTATTTGCTATCGCTTGATATTGTAAAATTGATCTCAAGTCGGGGATGTGAAGTGATCGGAGGGTGAAAGGTTATGATCCTTTCACTATTTTGTTCGTTTTTCGTTTTGATTTGTGCTGTAACCGTAGACATATGCTTTTGAACTGTGTTTTATTGGAAATTTATTTTCTATTGAACCGTGTTACGTTGGCGGAAATACCAATGCACTGCTTCCGTTTAAAATCTTCTACCGACATTTCGCTATTGCAGATTTACATGACTTGTTAATTTGTTATACGGTTTAAGTAGTTGTCCACTCTTCTCAAAGTGTAACATTCATTACCAATTTGATGTTGAAACTAACCCCATTGATACCCAAAGACAAAACACTAGCTCCTTTCTAGGTGAACAGTTGGATGGTTTGATCTGCCAAATGATTTCCTGAAAGCCATTTGTCAAATTCAAATTGATTTATGAACTAAAAATGTATCACGAATTTTGGTTAATTTGTGAAATATAGTCTGCCTAGGGTTAACGTATCATGTGTCCTGTTAGTCTGTTACTGTGTTAATGTGTATGCTTTTACTAGGTTCAATATGTCAATATATGTGCTTGATGTAAACACATGAAAGACTTATTCATGATTAACATCTAGATAATTATGTGATTTCTCCATTATATTCAGGCTGTCATCACAGAAGTAAAGGCTCCAGTTATACAACAGGGTATGAGACTCTTTAAGATATTGTTTTATAGCTTGTTAATGTCTCTTTCCAACTATAGTTGAATTAAAAGCATGTACCCTATTTACCTGTTATTCAAATCTTCTGTAGATCCTGAAGCAAACCTGCAAATATTTCCTCCTAACAGTAGTGCTGGTGGCAGGGGTTACCAGACTCTCACAGGCCCAAGTGGTATTGTTACATCACACACACTCTCTGAGAAAATGATCAAGTGAGAGATACCCAGTATAAGCTAATTTCCTGTATTTCTCTCTATTTATATACAGATGGAAATGGACAACAATCTGCCAACAACTGGAATGGAGCATTCAGCATCTCATCCTACACACAATATTTTAACGTTGATACAGATGATGTTGTGAACAGATTAACAAGTTCTTTATACCCCGCTGGTGACTTTTTCAGGAAAATTGAAGCTAACCCAGATCTGTAAGTTTCATGATTATGAACTCTAGCTAAGAATCTTGAAATTAGGTGGTTATTAAATATTAACCTTTTCTTTATACATATTTAGATATGGGCTCATCTGGATTGCTACCACATTGGTATTTGTGATAGCTTCAGTGGGTAATCTTGCCACGTATTTAATGACTAAAAAAGGAGACTCTAATGTTGCATGGAGCTTTGATGTGAACTACTTCCAGGTGTCAGCCATTGCAGTGTATGGTTATGCATTTTTAGTTCCACTTGGTTTTTACTTGTTGCTTCAGTATTTTGGTTCAAAAGTTGGGCTTGTTCACTTGTGGTGCATGTGGGGATACTCTCTCTTCATTTTCATCCTCAGTTCTGTAAGTATCCATCTTTAACCTGCTGAATAAACCGTTTGAATGAGACTAAATGACCATTTTACCCTTACATTCTAACAAACATGTTTGGTAGGTTTTGTTGGTTATACCTGTGGAATTTGTGAGATGGAGCATCACGATCATAACAGGTGTCGCGTCTGCAGCTTTTGTTGGTTTGAATCTGAGGTCTCATGTGGAGTTGACTGAGTTGACCCTTGTGTTAGTTGCTGCATGTGTGTTGCAGTTTGGTCTTGCTATTTTTATCAAGTCGTGGTTCTTTCAATGAGTGAGTTACCATATATATTTTTTGCTTTTTTTTTTTTGCTTATTGCAAGTGAATTTTGGAAGTTGTTGATTGTAGAGATTGTGATAGTTTTATAGGCATCTTATAGAAATGGAAGAATGTGTTTTTGATTTGGATTTGTGTGTAAAATAGAATGATGATTTTGGAGTTGGACATTATGTGATTTTGTAGCGTATATGTGTTAAGTTGGTTTAATGAAATTTGTATCAACATTTAAAGTTTAAACTCATAACTTTATATCTATTATGTGTATAAAATAAACATTTTTATTATACAAAACGTTTGTAAAATTGGATAATAACATAGTGGCTTCTGCCTAATACAATACTAGTATTTTCTCCTGTAGTTTAATTTAAACCAGTGACTAAATATATAGCCATCAAGCCACTAAATATGACGAAAGGCCTGACAGATAATCGGATCTTGATCTGACCCGGATATTTTGATGGTAATTTATCCCTGTTTTAACCACATAAGCCTGAGGGGTATTTTCATGAGTGGTTTGTGAGGCTATCCGGTATGGGGGGCTTGTCTATGTGTGAAATCCGTCGTGGCTAGCCAAGCTACACGTGAACACCACCCCAAAGGGGCGTAGGTGTCTTGTGGCGTGACTCCCTCCATGGACGAAGACAACCAATGAATGAGCAACTTTGCAAACGGTCAACAATGGCACTGCGTTTAATTCCATTTGTAGGTGAAGAAGACAACTTGAATTTCAGGATATGGCACATTTGGTCCCTAAACTTTTCCATCGTGACAATCCTACACTAAATCCAAATTAGTTAATCAAAAATGATTTTTGGGGTCTACAATTCATACCCTTCAACTAATATATATATATATATATATATATATATATTAGTAAAATATTTATTTATGTTTAATAATTGTGTTTTTTATTTAATCTAATGTCAAAAAAATAAAAATAAAATAAAAAGATAAATAAAGTAGAGTGGTATCCATTTTCAAATGCTAGTGGTTTGGTAGTGAACATGTAGTGGAGATGACGTGGCGTATAGGTGACATCACTTTTGTAGTAGGTTGGTGGTGACCATACCCTTAACCTGAGTGAAGATGAGGCCACATCGGATTTTAACAATTCCACAACCAATCCACTAGGTTGTGGAAATGGTGTGTACTAGTAGAGAGGCAAAAAGAAGAGAGAGAAAGAGAGAAAATGTGAGGGAAAGAATATAGAACCAATCATCTTCGTCGTCTTCGTCCGTCTTCATGGCCACTTCACAGCCAACCTACCCGTACCTGGGGCGGTGTTCATGCGTCTTCTGGGCTACCACATAGGATCTCACGCGTGGTTTGGAATACCATACCAGATAGCCTAAGCGTTGATCAAGAACTCTTAAATGTGAACAAGAAAAAAGGGTTCTAAAGAACTCTGAAATTTCAACATGTTTTTACAAGACACATGCATGAAAATGAATGTAAGAAAAAAAAAAAACTAATCTATAAAACTAGATTCTTAAAAAATATGTATAAAAATGAATAAATCTGTTTTTCTTTATAAAATAAGTGTAAGAAAAAAAAACTAATCTATAAAATTGGGTTCTTAAAAAATATGTATAAAAAGGAATAAATCTGTTTTTCTTTATAAATATTATCACCTCTCTCTTCCACGCCCAATCTCTAGTCTCTTTTAACAAAGCAAATGGGGTAAGAGCAGTGTCAGACACAAGATCTTTCGGTAGTGGTGGTACCGATAAAATAGTAGTTGCACTTATTTGTATAGTCGTTTCACATTAATAGAAAAAAATATTATATTGACGGGCTGAAACGGAATAGTGGCCATGGACCCCCGGGAACTACCTAACGCCGCCCCTAGGTAAGGGGAGGTAAGATCTAGGTAAGGGGAGGTAAGATAACTGGCAACCCCTCACATCTGGCAAAAGAAAATAAAAAGCAAAAACAAATAAATATAATAAAGTAAAATTTTCGTAATCATAGCCCAGTTGAAGTTATCCATACATAAGATCTCTGCATAGAAAACGTCAGTCTATGATGAATTTATAAAATGGATAAGTTTTAGTAAAGCAACCTACAAACAGGACATAAACATTTGCACATGAAGAGCGGGAGGTTCGGCAAGTAAAACATGACTAAATATGCAAGTAGTGGAAGCAGATAGATGAAGTTGAAAACATATATTGGAAGTAAAATAGTCAAACACAAGAAGAGTGTAAAGTAGCTCACATGCACTAAAAATGGTGGAAGCTAGACCATCAGGGCCGACTCTACCCTTTGCAAAACTAAGCAAGGGCTTATGGCCCCCAATTCTAAAGGGCCCCTAATTTAAAGCTTATTATGTTAATTATATATGTATATATATGTATTTCTTGGGTTACAAAGACAAGTTGGAGCTTGGCTTGATGGTAAAAGCACTGGTTTATCAAACCAAGGGCCTCAGGTTCGAATTTGTTTGCTTACCTTTCATTCATTTTATTTTGGAAGCTACTTAAACATATCACACATCGCTCATGGATGAAACTCAACCAACTCTCATCTCTTATATAAGCTCGACCATCCTCTTGCTTCATATTAACTCTACATTTGAGTCCCACATCGGCTGGAAGATCAAAACTTCAGCAAACTTCATGTTTATATAAGTGATTAGCTGAAATGCATTAAGAAATAGTGTGGGATTTGGTTTAAGTTATAAAACCGAAGGGCCTCAATTTTTTGTTTGCTTAGAGCCCCCAAATTGGTTGAGCCCCCCTTGTAGACCATAAACTATATTAATACTACTCTGCTACCCTGATTCTAAGTCTCCATACTTTCCTATCTGAAGGGTTAACTTCTTTAAGTCTAACCTTGCACAATCTTCCCACTTAAAGTTAGTCAAGGCTCCGGTCTCCTTCGATACACAATCTCATCACTTTCTTATTGGTCATCCTCTCCTCCTCATACACGCAACGATAATCAACTTCACCCTCCTAACAACAGTCAATTCCTTCCCTCAATTTCTCGGTGATCGGCGCCACCCATAACGATTTTCTAATAGTCGTGTTCGATATCATGTCCAACAATGTTCTAATACATGTCCACCGCAACATTCTCATTTATTCGACCTCTATCTTCCTCTCATATTCCTTCTTGATCGGCCAACATTCAGATCCATACAACAACGTTGGCGTTATCGTCACCTTATCAAACTTTCCCTTTAGTTTCAATAACACCTTCTTGTCACATAAAACTTTTGTCATTGCCCTCCACTTTAACCATCCCGCTTAATGCGATGTGTAAAACATGGTTATACACCCCATCTTTATGAAACCCCCATTTGGGTGTAACATGGTTAGGGAGGAGGGAGTCATTCTCTCCGAACCCACTCAACCCATTGTCACATCAGTTTTTCTCTTTCATTTTTCTTCATCTTTCCCAATCCACAACACATGGAAACCCTATCTTTTTCAACCCATTCAATTAAAAAAAAAATACAAAACAATCAAGGTAAAATCTTAATTAGCAATAGAGTTACCGCTGATACCTCCAAGATACCACTCCCTCTTCAGTGGGTTGGGAGTGATGGGTTGTTTAATTGGTTTCACTAACCCGCTTCATCCTCTCTCTCTACTTTCTCTCTCTCATTTTCTCTTGTAGCGTGTGTTTTAAGACTTGTACCTTAGTTGTTTTGTATTTTTTTTAATTAAGTGGGTTGAGTGGGTTGAGAAATATATGATTTCCGTGTGTTGTGGGTTGGAAAAGATGAAGAAAAAAAAAGAGAAAAACTGATATGGTAGTGGGTTGAGTGGGTTGGGAGGAAATGACTCCCTCCTCCCTAACCAACCCACAACACACATAATCTTTATATTTTTCAACTCACTTAACTCACTCAATTAAAAAAAAACAAAAAAAACTAAGATACAAGTTTTAATTAGCAAGAGCTACCGATGATACCTCCAAGATACCACTCTCTCTTCAGTGGGTTGGGAGGGTTGAGAGTGGTGGATTATTTAATTGGTTTTACTAATCCGCTTCATTATCTTTTTATACTTTATTTATTTTCTTTTCTCTTGTACCATATGTTTTAAGACTTGTACCTTAGTTGTTTTGTATTTTTTTTAACTGAGTGGGTTGAGAAGATAGGATTTATGTGTGTTGGGTTGGGAAAGATGAAGAGAAACCAGAAAAAAAAAAATGATGTGGCAGGGTTGAGTGGTTATAGATGTATACTTCTATATCTTTGACCTCTTTGATCTCACTAAAATTGCAACATAGATATTCTATCTTCGCAGTCACTGTAACTAGCCCTTTTTCTTCCAAAGTCGTTTTCAGGTAACCAACCTAGCATTAAGCTCTAATCTAGACTCGGCCACTAAAACGCAGGTAGCAGATCGACTGTACATATCATGTATCGCTCGGATTTACTGAACCTGTCTTGCTTCCAAGGTCTTCCAGATCGGATTTACTGAACCTTTCTCAAGATCAATAAACACATGTGCCAATCCCTATTTTTTTCTCGATATTTCTTTCATAACACGTCGAAGTAAGTGAATCGTAGAACTCCCTGGCATAAATCCTTCTCTCAACTATGGATATCTCCTGTCGTTCCCAAAGAGAAAAAAAAAACTATCGATGTAGCGCAAGAAGCTGCTTATCTTATCGTCTCTCAACTATGGATATCCCTGTCGTTCCCTGGCATAAATCCTTCTCTCAACTATGGATATCCCCTCCATTTCTTCTATGCAAGCAAATTAGTCAAGTGGATGATTGTAAGAGATAATTCTGATTTTGGGTATTATTTGTTAAATAATTTTTATGACAATATTCCTTTGAATGTCTATGGATGAATGATTACAAGAGATAATTCTGATTTTGTGATGAACTGGTCAGTGACCACCAATGGTCTTTCTGTGTTCATATTGAATGGGTACATGATAATTCTTCGTTCTGTGTTCATATGTTCTTTTTGTAGGCACTTATGTTTTTGATTGTGTTTTGAAATTGTAGCATGCATGCAGACTTTACAAAAAGAAACAACCTTCTTTTTGCAACTGCACACTTCTTGTCCACATCTTCCTCTTTATCTCTCATGATTCGAGCTCCCTCTGTTTCCAACTTTCCATGAAAGCAAATAATGAGATGAGAAGGGGGAGAGGTCCCATAACATGATGAAGTTCCAGGCTAGACTAAAATCGACTAATTTGATGATGGCTGATGAAAATATTGGAAATATAGAATCGAGCAGAGAAGAGATTAAGATCAAAAGAGTAGAAAAAACAGATTATAGGAGTTGAAACTAACCTTTAATTATGATAACAGATGAAGAAGAAGGAAACAATGAACTTCAACATTTTGGAACAATATCATAATCTATGTAGTTTTTGGGTGATAGTGCATGTTACTTGCTACACACTTTCGTTTTTGGTTTACCACAACGATTTTAAACAATGTGAGAAGTATATTCCTTGAAGTTAACAAAAATATAAAATTATTGCTACAAATTTGCAAAATATTCTTTGTTAAATCTTAATTATTCGCATATGATCTGGTATTGTTGTATATTGTTATTCCTATTGTAAATGATTTTATATTGTTGTAGTAAACCAGAATGTTAATGTTGATGTAATAACTCAGTGTTAAGATTTATGGAGTCATGAACAAATTGACAAGTTCCTAAGAGTTCAAGGGCCATAAATGAAACTTGGAAATTAAAACAATTGAATTGTTGAATGGACGGTGGAATCAATTGTTTAATATTTATTGTCACTATCTCTAATGTGAACGCAACAATTGAACATTTGAATTGGACGCGAACTTTCGGTGGAATAATCAATGGACGGCTAAAGAAAAATCTACGCATTTTTCAATCTTTGCGGCAATCTTGTGCATATTGCGGCTCACAAATATACCTATATATATGGATGTATGTTTTGCATATTTTGTGTGCAAAACTTGAGATAACATCAAGTGTAGAGTGTCAAGCCAATTGTAATCTTGTGATTTTTAATAAAATTCTCTAGTTGCAGCCCGTGGACGTAGGATTTGCACCGAATCCGAACCACGTAAAATCCTTGTGTTCTTCTTGCTTTATTTTCGTGAGTTTGTGTGTGTGTGATAGTGTGTTTCCGCTGCGTGTACCCGGTCCGGTTCCTAACAACTGGTATCAGAGCCAGATTAGCGAGGTTTGGAGGGTACAATCATTTTTTTTATCACGCACGAGTGTACCTGATTTGTATCTTGTTTGTCGTAATGGCTGAAGACAAGGTTGTAATCGAAAAGTTCAACGGTTCTGATTTTAGCTGGTGGAAAATGCAATTAGAAGCATTGCTATGTCAGAAAGACTTGGACATGGTACTCGGAGACAAACCGGAGAAAATGGAAAAAGCTTTTGAAGATGCGTGGAACTCAAAGGACAAGAAAGCCAAGGCGGTTATTACATTGTCGTTGACGAAGAGCGTTGCTTTCAACATCATGAATGAAACCACGGCGCGTGGTATGATGGAGGCTCTGTCAAATATGTATGAGAAACCATCGGCGGCTAACAAGGTGTTCTTGATGAAGGAGTTGTTCACTACAAGGATGAATGAGGAAGGCTCAGTTACGGTTCACATTAACAATCTAAATTCAATTCTGTCCAGATTATCATCTGTGGGAATTAAATTTGATAACGAGACTCAAGCATCACTGCTACTAGCTTCTCTACCTGATAGCTGGTCCGGAACAGTTACTGCTGTTACGAGTTCCGTGGGGACCAGTGGTATGACTTTTGAAGGGGTTAGAGATTTGGTTCTTGGCGAAGATATCAGACGCAAGAATCAAGGTGGATCTTCTTCTTCTGATTTATTAAATGTCGGAAGAGGTAGAGGGAATAGCAGGAGCAGTGGGAGTCGGGGAAAAAGTTCTTCTAGAACTTTGAAGAATGTGAAATGCTGGAACTGCCAAGAGGTGGGACATGTTAAGAGTCAATGTCCAAAGAAAGAATTAAAACATTGCTGGTGCTGAGAGTGTGTCTGAGGATGATGCACTGATACTCAATATGGAAAGTTATATGGACTCTTGGGTCATGGATTCAGGGGCTTCGTTTCACGCCATGGACAACGGGGAAACGATGGTGAATCTAAAAGAAGGAGATTTTGGAAAGGTACGTTTGGCAAATGACGAGATGCTTCAAGTAACGGGCATGAGAGATATTGATTTGGTTACTTCATTGGGAACTACATGGAGCCTGAAGGATGTCAGGGTGATTCCGGAGCTAAAGAAGAAATTGATTTCTGTTGGTCAGCTGGATAAACAAGGACTGGAAGTAAGGTTTGGTGGTGGTAAATGGATGGTGGTCAATGGTAATTCGGTGATTGCTCAAGGTATGAAGTGTGAGTCATTGTATATGGTTGAGGTACCTGCTGAGGGAAGTATGACCATCCCGATTAAGCAAAACAAAATCTGGTTCGCTAAATCTACTGCTAAGAGAGTTCATTTTGCAAACATGAATTCTGGAGCCAAAGAGATGTTAGCTGAACGAGTTCGAAAGTCTAAACCATTCAGGGGATTCTGTGACAGTGGGAGCACGGGACGTCTTTCGGGTACAGTTACAAAGAGCCGTTGGGTTTTGAAGACTAAGACTGAAAAATTCTCTCCTGTTGGAAGTTTGCAAAGATTGGAGAGTGTTAGTGGTCCTCGGTGTATCTCTGGATCTGGTGGAGTGTCCAAACCGGTTGAGACAGAGGATGAGTCGGTGGTGGGATTAGCCACGACTAAGTTGGAGCTAGTGGGAGCTTCAACTGGCCCTTCTAGTACTTGAAGATGAGGGGCGGCTGCAATTAGAGAAATCAGACTAAGTTTTAGCTTGTTCTTTGGAACTGGAAGCTTGAAGGACTTGGTTGTTTTTTAAGATTACTGGAGTAATTGAGAGTTGGATGACGGAGAAAGACTAATTTGTTCAAGTCTCCAAGTGGGAGATTGTTAAGATTTATGGAGTCATGAACAAATTGACAAGTTCCTAAGAGTTCAAGGGCCATAAATAAAACTTGGAAATTAAAACAATTGAATTGTTGAATGGACGGTGGAATCAATTGTTTAATATTTATTGTCACTATCTCTAATGTGAACGCAACAATTGAACATTTGAATTGGACGCGAACTTTCGGTGGAATAATCAATGGACGGCTAAAGAAAAATCTACACATTTTTCAATCTTTGCGGCAATCTTGTGCATATTGCGGCTCACAAATATACCTATATATATGGATGTATGTTTTGCATATTTTGTGTGCAAAACTTGAGAGAACATCAAGTGTAGAGTGTCAAACCAATTGTAATCTTGTGAGTTTTAATAAAATTCTCTAGTTGCAGCCCGTGGACGTAGGATTTGCACCGAATCCGAACCACGTAAAATCCTTGTGTTCTTCTTGCTTTATTTTCGTGAGTTTGTGTGTGTGTGATAGTGTGTTTCCGCTGCGTGTACCCGGTCCGGTTCCTAACACTTAGGAAAGTCAACTTGTTATTTATAAATGTACTTTGCTGTTTAATATTGATTGAAGCCATCCAATACCAACTTTGGGATGGCTATAAGATAATTCCTATTGTTTATATCTAATTCACAAATGAAAACAAAGTGGATGGTGAGTTATGAACTGGACTAATTCCAGAGAGTAAGTTTTAAGTAGTTAAATGGATAAGAGCACACAGTTTGGCCACCTATTATTGGTTTCATTAAGCAACTTCAAAAGCACATGATATATTTTGTTCTAATCCACATAAGCATTTCTTAAACAAAATATAAATGTAACCAGTTTAGAAGTTCATCTGCATGTTTTGGTACTAATATGACACATCATTTCATGATGGAAAAATAAGAGCACATATATGTCAGAAAGATGAAAGGTTGTTGCATAAACAAGTATTTGCCCTTTCTATTATCGATAATAATGATAATAAATTTGAAATTAATTTAATTTTAGAAAATTCCATGCCAGTGCTGCTATATCATCTTATAGGTTCTAATTTACAAATTATCTAATATTGGTGAAACTGAAAAGATGTAAGTTGATTGTTATTGAGGATAAAAAAATAAAGTATGTTGTGTATATTGGTAGAAATAGCTAAGCAGGTTGTTAGTTATTGCAATAGAAAATCATTGATTATGATGATGATATCGTCGATGTGAAATCAACTCACTTTCTATTGAAAATATCAAGTGGATGTTTCTTTAGCTTTTGGTAAACTGCAAATTTCTTACAAAACCACTTCTTTTGTGTTTATTCATTGAAATAGCTTAACAGGTTGTTAGATGTGGCAATAAAAAGTATTGATTATGATGATGATATCAAATTGTTATTAAGTCAACTCATTTATATTGAAAATGTCAAGTATATGTTTCTTTAGCTTTTTGTAAATTGAAAGTTTCTTAGAAAATCAAATATGATGTGTATATTGGTAGAAATAGCTAATCAAAGGTATTATTTGCTGCAATAAAAAATCCGTAAAAAGATTTTGATGATTTATATTGAAATGCCAAGTGGATATTTCTTTAACTTTTGGTGGATTGGAATATCATTGACTATTTCAAGCTGCATTCATTATGTATTAACAAATCAACATGCAAACATGTCTTTACATATATTCCGTGAGCTGCTAGTAAATTGGATATATATATATATATATATATATATATATATATATCTATATATATATATATATATATAGTTCATTTCATTGACATGCTGAAACCACATCACATACCTTCTATCTCTTACAAATCAAGTGATCAATGGCTTCATCATCATCATCATCATCATCTTCTCAATCATGGAATCATGATGTTTTCCTTAGCTTTAGAGGAGAAGATACCCGCAAGACTTTTGTGGATCATCTCTACTCGGCTCTTGTACTACAAGGCATCGACACTTACAAGGATGACGAAACACTTCCTCAAGGCGAATTGATCGGTACATCCCTTATGAAGGCTATTGAGGAAGCACTGATAGTTGTCATCGTATTCTCTATAAACTATGCTGATTCATCGTGGTGCTTGGATGAAGTTGCACATATTATGAAATGCAAGGATATGACTGGGAAAATCATCATGCCCATATTTTATGATGTGGACCCGTCTATAGTGCGAAATCAAAAAGAAAAATATGGAGAAGCATTTGCCAGACATAAGTTGGAGAACAAGAACAAAGTTGAATACTGGAAAAAAGCACTTGTGGATGCAAGTAGCATTTCTGGATGGGAACTCAAGAACATTGCCAACGGGTAATTTTCTTCTTTGTTTTTGCACTTTTTATGTTTAACATACGTGTGCTCTATAAGCTAATTCTATACTTCAATATAAACTTTCATACAAATGTTTTAATTATTTTTGATGATGTTGATGACCTTGATATAAATCAGAGGCTTTGGCTAGATTAGTTGATTAGTTTGGCTAGTTAAAAGATATCTCAAGTCCTATGATTATGGATAAGCTCAAATTAAGTTATGGTGGACTTTATTGAGTTAACACCTCGCTTGAAGCACAACAACATGTCCATCTTGCTTCACTTTTTTGAAACTTTGTCAATATTTCCCATGAAAGAAAACTTCTTGTGGTATTACTTTACCGGTTCTATATCGAATCTGAAATATATAGGCGATTACGTCTCCTTTTCTTTTGTTCATAGAGCATGACACAAATGATCTCTTTTGTTAATGTGATCATGTGTTAATTATCTTTATATATGATCCAATGTGTAGGCATGAATCAAAGGCTATCAAAGAAATTGTTGACAAAATTTCATCGAGGTTGCAACTTGTAACTGCAAGTTCTGCAAATGAAAAGCTGATCGGAATAGCGCATCGCATGCAACGTTTAAAATCAGCCTTACAAATTCGGTCAGGTGGTGTGCGCATGATTGGGATATGGGGGGTTGGGGGTGGTGGTAAGACTACTCTTGCATCTTGTATATATGATGAAATCTCTAAAAAGTTTGATGGTTGCTGCTTTATTGCAAATATTCGAGAGGAATCAAACAGGCGTGGTTTGAAAGAATTAGAAAAAGATATTCTTTCACAAACGGGAGCATACAGTGCTGGAAGAGGAAGATGCTTGAAAGATAAGAAGTTGTGTAATAGAAGGGTATTGATTGTTCTTGATGATGTCGATCAACTTGATCAACTAGAAGCATTAGCTGGATCACCTGATTGGTTTGGTGATGGAAGCCGGATACTAATCACAACTAGAGATGAACATTTGCTAAAAGCTCACGAAGTTGTTGTACATGATATTAGCTTGTTACATGGTGGTGAGGCTATTGATCTCTTTTGCAAGCATGCATTTCGGGGTTCCATACCTATGGAAAAGTATGAGCAGCTTTCAATAGAGGTAGTCTCTTATGCTGGTGGTCTTCCATTAGCACTTACAGTTCTTGGTTCTTCTCTATGTGACAAAAACATTGATCAGTGGAGGAGTGCATTAGCCAGACTAAAAGAGATCCCGGATAACAAGATTCTTGAAAAGCTAAAAGTCAGCTTTGATGGACTTACAAAGGTTCATAAAGATTTGTTCCTTGATATTGCATGTTTTTTTAGGTGGGAGGAAATAGATATCGCAATGGAGAAGCTTGATGCTTGTGGTTTTTATCCTGTTATAGGAGTAGAAGAATTGAGACAAAAAGCTCTCATAACTATTTTGGATGGAAATTTTGATATGCATGATCTGGTGCAAGAAATGGGACACTACATTGTTAGAGGAGATTACCCTAAGAATCCTGAAAAACATAGTAGAATTTGGAAGAAGGAAGATGTTGAAAGAATATGTGCTATGGATGCATCGATGGTAACGGTTAAGCTGGCTTTGCATAATATATGTATAAACAAACACTTTTAACCCAACATTAACACTTTTTGTTCCTCTTAACATATATAGGAACTTGACAAGATTGAAGCAATACAAGTTCATTACGATGAATTTCAAGTAACACTATTTGAATCCTGTAAACTTCAAGAACCACCTCCTCCTCCGATTGTTGCAAACATGAGGAACCTTAGGTATATTCGGTGGAAAGGTGATCTTGCAAATCCATTGCATGATAATTTTCCACCAAGGGAGCTTTGTTGTCTGGTATTGCGTGGTGGCATCCAAGACCAACTTTGGAATGGTTGTAAGGTAATTCTCAATGTTTATCTGTTTCACAAATGAAAACAAAGTAGATGATGAATTATAGACTTAACTGATCCAGATTCCAGAGAGTAAATGGAAAAGAGCACATAGTTATGCCACATATCATTGGTGTCATTAAGCAACTTCAGTTGTATTTTTTTTTTTTTTTCATAAATTTTCCCTAGTGTGGAAAACATGAATACCCTTTTGTCTAAACATAAAGACAAAAAGTTGGTTTTGTTTTTCTTTTTGAAAATAAATACTATTCAACTTTTTAGGTAAGATTTCAATTTAAATCTGTCTTCTTTTTTGATTAATAAATTTCATTTTAAAATATTTTCTTATTTTGTTTTTATTAAGTGATTTTTAGATATATAATTAAACAATCAAACACATTAAATGATTTCCATACATGGATGGAAGGAATTAGTTTTTATTTATTTATTTTGTCTATTTATCATCACATATATAGAAATAGTATGTAGTGTACCTGGGATGCATCAAACGTACATTAAAACACTTGAAATGATTTTGATAGAAAATGGGTCATGTATAATCGGAACATGAGAATCCTCCATATACCCGTTAACCCGTATATCCGTTCCTGATTTGATGCTTTGTCATTTAGTTGTTTTTTTGATTTTTTGTTTTTAATTATTCTAATAAATACATATCATTATTATTAACATTATTTTTTTTTGTTCATTAAACTAGTTTTGTATTTTTTTTTTCATTCTGACTATCACTGTGTTATTTTTTTCGTTCGGATTATCCTCATGTTATTTTTTCGTTCCGACTATGATTGCGTTACTTTTTTTCGGTTGAATTATACCATGTTATTTTTTTTTGTTCGAATTATCTGTGTTATTTTTTCGTTCCGACTATCTATGTGTTTTTTTTGTTTGAACAATCCATGTGTTATTTTTACATATCATTATATTTTTTTTTCATTCGGATTATCCATATGTTATTTTTTCGTTTGAACTATCATTGTGTTATTTTCTTGTTCGAACTATCTAGTGTTATTATTTTTTTGCGATTTTCATAGCCGTTAAATAAAACTCACGCACAAACATACATTTAATTGTCCGTAAAACTTTTCTAAAACAAAAAAGAAAAAAATAAAACATGGTTAGTGCGAACGAAAAAAAATTATACATGGTTAGTCAAAACGAAAAAAATTACACGAGGATAGTTGGAATGAAAAAGATAACACAGTGTTAGTCGGGACGAGAAAATAACACATATAGTCTGAACGAAAGAAATAACGCAGAGGTAGTCTGAACGAAAGAAATAACACAGAGATAGTCTGAACGGAAAAAATAACATAGGGATAATCTGACCGAAAAATAATATAAGAATAGTCCGAACAAAAAAATAACCCAATAATAGTACGAACGAAAAAAATAAAATATGGATAGTCTAGACGAAAAAATAACGCATGAATAGTCCAAATGAAAAAAATACCACACATGAATAGTCGGAACGATACATAAGGATATTCGTAATTTTTTTATTGAACAATACATGATACCATCATTCGTAAAGATATAACTATATATAAAAAATGTTTTCTAAAACACAAATAATTAAAAACAAAATAACATAATTAATTAAAACTATAATAATAATAATAATAATAATAATAATAATAATAATAATAAGACAAAAAAAATGACAAAAAAAAATCAAATCAAAATAAGTTTCTTTAAGTTGAAGGATTTGCATTTAAGTCGAATCAAAGGGAGGATATCTATAGCAACACCCTTGGAATATTATCATTTTTTGTTATAGACGTCTACCTAGAATCATCTTTAAGACCAGCCATAGTCATATGGGAGTGTCATTGAGTATTTTGATATTTTAGTACACCAGTGTTAGCTAGGGAAGGAGGTCATCTCTTTGGGGAACCTTTCCGACTAGGGTAGGGAAACGTTATGTTTGGGTTCTTAACTGATTTTGCTTCTTTCTTCAGTTCTACCTGTAGCAAACAGTCCATTAGATATATTTACAATATATTTGGTTTCTTTACATCTATTATTGCATCTCGATTCCTATCAATTTCCATTTTGATTTTTGTCCTTGATATGTTTTTGACCTGTTTGCACTTGTATATGCATGATAGGTGCTGCCAAATTTGAAGATGATGGAACTTTACGAGTTGGATAACCTAATCATGACACCAAATTTTGATGGAATTCCATATCTTGAAAGATTCAAACTTTGGAGATGTGGGAAACTAGAAGAGATCCATTCATCTTTTGGACGCTTAGACAGGCTTGTTTGCTTATCTATAGGCTTTTGCATGGGTATTAAGAGATTTCCATCCATTACCCGACTAAAGAAACTCGAGACCCTTTCATTTACAGTGTCCCGTGGGGTTTTTAAGCTCTCAAAGATCCAAGAGAAAATAGATAACTTTTTGGGAGAAAAAGACATGAGTTCTGGTGTTTGGGAGTTATCCAACTTGAACCACATAAAGTTATGTTTTTTTCGTAGAGACTTGAAAGAACTGGATCTCAGTTGGTGCAATTTGGGAGATGAAGACATGAGCTATGCTATTTGGGAGTTACCCAACTTGCAAAAACTTAATCTATCAGATAATAAGTTTTCACGATTAGATTTTAGTCTCATTCGAACTCCTCTACTCAAATTTTTGGACGTGTCAAATTGCGCATGCCTTGTGGAACTGTCAAATCTCCCATCAAGCATTGCTGTTGTTGAAGCGTATTGTTGTACCTCACTTAAAACCTTTGGATCTATTTCAAACTGCAAATGGCTGTGGAAACTCTCGCTTCGTGGGGTGTACAATTTAAGTCCACTTCTTGGTTACATGTTACTAGACTCCATGCTCAAGGTTTGGCTCTACATACTCACGTTTACAATTTAAATATTTATTTATTTCAATTGTGTGTTTCCACACATGACAGGGGAACGCTATTGAAGATCACCTTATGAGTGTAATTCTTGATTATGAGATTCCAAAGGAGTTTGTACATGTTGGTAGGCTGTTTAGGGGGAACACATTTAGAATGCGTCTTCCAGATGATTGGTACAATCACTTTTCTGGGTTCTTGATACACGTTGTTACCCACGAAGGATATCCGAATATTAAAATAACCATTAAGGAGGTGAAGCCGAATGATGATCTTCCATTTAAGGTTTTGCGTTGGTATGAGTCTAATAAGGGAATTGACCGTTGTTGGATATCTACATATGTGGGATATGTTTCCATTAATTCATTGAGGCCCACTACATGCTTGAATTCAACGTACAACGTGATTTCAATTTCCTTACACCAGAGTGGGACTGCTTCTGGAGCTGCAAATAGAATAGGAGTTTCACTCGTTCCTAAAAAAAGATGTAAAGATGATCCGGTGAAAACATCAGATTCCTCTGAATTTTGGAATGAGAAAGATAAATCTAAACCGACTTTTGCGATCAAACGTGGTTCAAAGTCATCATCTATTAAGATCTTGTGGCAACCTCATAATGTGGACAACTATCTCTTTGCAGACCAATACCAACCAATAACCAATTGATATTTCAACTATTTTGCCGGTTTGTAGTTTACCCAAGAAATTTGGGCAATGGCGGCGACACCAATGAGGCGACAAGGGCATATTTTTTTTTTCTGAAACGGCAAATGATTAAACGGAAGCCTACTCGCATATTTCAAAGAGCACCCCGGGTTCGAGCTCCTTTACAGGGCAAACCCAGCCCCCATAAGGGTTTCCAGGGAAAATTTCACCACATGTGACACAAGTTTAAGAGGCACCCAAATTGGGTTTTGCAGGGATTGAACTCCCGACCTCTGACCCCACGTGAGTATTAAACCCGGTATTAGTGATAATCTTTGGGTATTATTTAACAAAAAAAAATATTGCTTCTTGTTTTTTTTCCCTAAAAAACCGTTTTTTTTTCATGAAAGCCAATCATTTTCAATATATTTTTTTTAAAAACTTGTGGTGATCTGCTATAGCCCATTAACAGTTCATTAATTTAATGCATTTGCAAAACCCAAATTTTCATTCCCCTTTTCAGAAAAACCATTATGATTTGACAATATTTTATTATTATTATTATTATTATTATTATTATTATAATAGTACGATTATTATATTATTATTATAAAATATGAAGCTAAGTTAAAGAATAAAATAAGAAATGAGATTCTATTTATTCCATTACTTGTGGTAAAAACAATCAATTTTTACAATACATATTACTCACTATTTATACTAGAAAAAAGAGATGAAAAATAAGCTATGTTGTGAATGCTCTTTATAATGGTGCATAACTATAGTCATAAAATTCATAATAATGTGTGTTACTAATGCTCACTAATGATGTAGAGAGATGAGAGAATATGGAGAATCCAATAGTCATTTACTAAATAATATTTCATAACACTCCCCTTGAATGACGGTTGTATCATGTCTCGTTAAAATCTTAATAGATAAGACCTCATGGGAAAAAAAAATCTTTATTAAGGAAAAAGAGTAGATGATTAATAATAGACATTGAAAATAATTGTCTCGTTAAAAACCTTGCTAATAAAAAACTTACTGGGAAAAAGTTAGCTAAGGAAAAGAGTACAGTATGTTTGCAACTCCCCCTGATGAACACATCATTTGATTTCATTCAAGCGCCGCATACCATTGTTTTGTACCATATTTTCAAATTTGGATGTAGGAAAAGTTTTTAGTGAACAAATCGGTGAAGTTGTTACTTGATTGAATTTTATGGATTGTGATGTCACACTCATTTTGAAGATCATGAGTGAAAAAAAACTTTGGTGACATATGCTTGGTTTTCATCTTTTTTCTTATTTTCCTTTACATACATACATATATAAATCATGAATTTGATGTTTACAAGTTCAAACATTAAAAATACATATAAAAATAAGTTGTGGATTAATCCAAGGGTTTAAGTCATTTTTGGCCACTTAACTTTTGGTTTTGTGCTCATTTGGTCACTTAACTTTTTTTAAGTTTTAAAATGTCATCAAACTTTTGGCTTTGTGTTCATTTAGTCACTTAACTTTTGGTTTGGTCACATTTAGTCACCTAACTTTTAAAACTGTGCTCATTTAGTCACTAAACTTTTAAATTTTTTTAAAAGTTTAGTGACTAAATGAGCACAATTTTAAAAGTTAGGTGACTAAATGAGCATAAATCTAAAAGTTAAGTGACCAAACCAAAAGTTAGGTGACTAAATGAGCACAAAGTTAAAAGTTTGATGACCTTTTAAAACTTAAAAATAGTTAAGTGACCAAATGAGTACAAAACCAAAAGTTAAATGACCAAACATGACCTGAACCCTTAATCCAAATACATTAAAATAACATATAACTATAAGTTTTAGTGTTTTACATCAATCCATATACGTCAAAAAGAAAATAAAGTATAATACCGAAACAAAATATAATTTTAGATAAATAAAACACATCAAAAACCTTTATAACGTTTACCATATGTTTTTAAAAGCGCTTAACTACGAATATATATATATATATATATATATATATATATATATATATATATATATATATATATATATATATATATATATATAATGTAGCGATATTAGAAAACTGGTTAATTAAAATTTAAAAGAAAGCGTTGGAAATGGAATCGAATATATATATATATATATATATATATATATATATATATATATATATATATATTATCGATTCTGATGGTTTAAAAGCGATTAAAATAAAGACGCACCACCAACCGTTTGAACTACAAGTAATTTGTGTACATTAATACATAAAAAGATATATATACATATACACAATATATTAATTATATAAAAAAAAAATTAGGCCCCTTAAAAAAATGGGCTGTGCACATGCCTCTTTTGCCCATGCGCATAACCCTAATTTACAAATTGTTGTTTAATATCGGTGAAACTGAAAAGATGTTAGTTGATTGTTATTGATGATAAAAAAAAGCATATTTTGTATATTGGTAGAAATAGCTAAGCATGTTGTTAGTTGTCGCAATAAAAAAACATTGATTATGATGATGATATCATCAATATGAAATCAACTCACTTTATATTGAAAAAGTAAAATGGATATTTCTTTAGCTTTGTTAAACTGCAAATTTCTTAGAAAATCAAATCTTTTGTGTTTATTCGTATAAATAGCTAAACAGGTTGATAGATGTTGCAAAAAAAAATATTTATTGTGATGATGATATCATTAATATTAAGTCAACTTATTTATATTGAAAATGTCAAGCAGATGTTTATTTAGCTCTTGATAAATTGGAAGTTCCTTCCAAAATCAAATCTGATGTATATATATTGGTAGAAATAGCTAAGCAAGTTGTTATTAGTTGCAATAAAAAATCATTGATTTTGATGATTTATATTGAAAATGTCAAGTGGATATTTCTTTTAACTTTTGGTAGATTGGATATTATTAACAAATCAACGTGTATTTACATAGATATTCCGTGAGCTTCTACTAAATCAGAAATTTCTTGGAAACTCACATGTTTCTCTGTTTCTTTGTATGCTTCATTTCATTAAGGTGTTGAAAAGCGAAACCGCATCACATACTTTCTATCTCTTACAAATCAAGTGATCAATGGCATCTTCATCATCATCTTCTCAATCATGGAATCATGATGTTTTCCTTAGTTTTAGATGAGAAGATACCCGCAAGACTTTTGTGGATCATCTCTACTCAGCTCTTGTACTACAAGGAATCAACACTTACAAGGATGATGAAACACTTCCTCGAGGCGAATTGATCAGTACATCCCTTATGGAGTCTATTGAGGAATCACAGATATTTGTCATCATATTCTCTTTAAACTATGCAGACTCATCGTGGTGCTTAGATGAAGTTGCACATATTATGAAACGCAAGGATATGATTGGGCAAATTGTTATGCCCATATTTTATGATGTGGACCCGTCTACGGTGCGAAATCGAAAAGAAAAATATGGAGAAGCATTTGCCAAACATAAGTTGGAGAACAAGAACAAAGTTAAATGTTGGAAAAAAGCACTTGTGGATGCAAGTAGCATCTTTGGATGTGAACTCAAGAACATTGCCAACGGGTAATTTTCTTCTTTGTTTTTGCACTTTTTTACGTTTAAGATATGTGTGCTCTGTAAGATAATTCTATACTTCAATATAAAAATTCAGACAAATGTTTTAATTATTCTTGATGATGTTAATGACCTTGATAAATCAGAGGCGTTGACTAGATCAATTGATCAGGTTGTTTAGTTAAAAGATATCTCAAGTCTTAGGATGATGGATAAAGCTCAAATTAAGTTATGATGGAATTTATTGAGTTCTACCTCTTATTCTGTACTTAACGCCTTGTTTGAAGCTACAACAACAAATTCATCTTGCTTCACTTTTTTCTTTTTGAAACTAGACAATATTTCCCAAGAATATTGTTACAAACCTCATTTGGTATTAACTTTACGAGTTCTATATCGGGTGTGAATTATGAAATGAGGGTTCTTAGTCTCCTTTTTTCATAGAGCATGATACAAAATATCTCTTTTATTAATGTGATTGATCATGTGTTAATTATCGTTGTATATCCAATCTGCAGGCATGAATCAAAGGCTGTCAAAGAAATTGTTGACAAAACTTCATTGAGGTTGCAACAAGTAACTACAAGTACTGGAAATGAGAGATTGATCGGAATAGCACCTCGCGTGCAACGTTTAAAACCAGCCTTACAAATTGGGACAGGTGGTGTGCGCATGATTGGAATATGGGGGGTTGGGGGTGGTGGTAAGACTACTCTTGCATCTTCTGTATATGATAAAATATCTAAAAATTTTGATGGTTGCTGTTTTGTTGCAAATATTCGAGAGGAATCAAGCAGGCGTGGATTGAAAGAATTAGAAAAAGAAATTCTTTCACAAATGGGAGCACACAGTGTTGGAAGAGGAAGATCCTTGAGAGATAAGAAGTTGTGTAATAGAAAGGTATTGATTGTTCTTGATGATGTCGATCAACTTGATCAACTAGAAAAGTTAGCTGGATCACCTGATGGTTTGGTGATGGAAGCCGAATAATAATCACAACTAGAGATGAGCATCTATTAAAAGCTCACAAAGTTGTAGTACATGATGTTAGCTTGTTACATGGTGATGAGGCTATTGAGCTCTTTCACAAGAATGCATTTCGGGGTTGCATACATATGGAAGAGTATGAGCAGTGTAACACCTGTTCCAGGTATTAATTAAGTTATCTATTTTTTTAGGGTTTTGTGCATGGACTCAGCGAGTTGGGGAGCTCTAACTCGTCGAGTAGAGATCATTTATGTGGACGCGGGACTTAGAACCTACTCGACGAGTCGGAAGGCCCCGACTCGACGAGTAGGTGTTGTAGAGGGAAACCCTAATTTTTAGGGGTTTGTACCCTATTTAAAGAACTTATGGCTAATTTTTAGTCTCCTTCATCGTTCTTAAAGTCCAGAAAGAAACCCTATCCGCATTTTGGTGCTTCCTTGAGTGTGTGTGTGTGAGCCTTGGAGAGTGGAACTTGTGCTTTTTGAGAAGGAAACTTGAAGGTTGAGGAGGTTGAAGAAAGGAGAAGGCTTTGGATTCGGCATCTACTTGTTGCTAGCATCTATTTAGAGGTAAAAAGTTGCTAACTTGATCTCTATTTGATTAGATCTCATTTTATGGAAGAATATGGTCACTTTTTGGTGAAAAATGGGGTCATACTCGGATTTGGACTTATCACAAGGATATAGTTCCAGATCTGGACATCTCTAGGTCCTCAATGACATATAGTTGCTCACTTTATCCAGCTTAGGCCCTTTCCATGCACTAAAACCTTGTAGAAAGCTTAGTTTTGATGTTATAGCCTTGGGAGGCCTTGCATGCATGTAAAGTTTGCAACTTTACGTGGTATCTGCACTAGGGGAGGTTGGATCTGAAGTTTGGGACCTTAGATCCCACTGGAAAGGACTGAACACAAAATGACTGAAGGAACTCGTTGAGTCCATTAGTCGACTCGACGAGTCGGGGAAGGGTTTACTCGTTTTCGAGTCTCTG